AGAAGTGAACTACGCTATCAAGCAGAAAAAAAGGGAATGCACCTAATCATCACTACATAGAGTTAGCAATAGTGATTAAGAAAGATACATCACCAATTGCCCTAATAATACATTACCATCATCCAGATTCGTAGTCACTGGGGGGCCCGGTTGCAGTGAAGATTTGGAGAGTCCTTCCCGGCAATTGGGAAATCTCTATACAGTGCATCCACTGTATAGATGAGGCTTCCAATTTCCCTGCAAACATTCCGGACTTTTATACAGTTGAATAAACAACTTTAGATCTTAAACTATGAAAAACATCTGGTGTGGTTTTCTCCTTGTTAACTCGTAGTCACTGGGGGGCCCGGTTGCAGTGAAGATTTGGAGAGTCCTTCCCGGCAATTGGGAAATCTCTATACAGTGCATCCACTGTATAGATGAGGCTTCCAATTTCCCTGCAAACATTCCGGACTTTTATACAGTTGAATAAACAACTTTAGATCTTAAACTATGAAAAACATCTGGTGTGGTTTTCTCCTTGTTAACTTCCATCTCGAGCCTGGCCGGGGCAGGAGAGGGGAGATAACCAAAAAAAAAGAATCTACTAATCTTGATCATCTGTCTCTCAACAAAGCTTGTCATGACTTGCCACATTCCTTTGCCATCTGTGGTGACAGGGCACATCCATGCTTAATTTTGGCTACTGTTACACAACTAGTATCTTTCTGCTGACTAACCTTACACAGCAAACATTACAGCAAAGCTCTATAAGCATTACAACAAAACTTTTATAAATTGGCATATGTTAATAAGGTAATACCTTGCATATGTGATCGATATTATACATATTAGATATATTGTTAGGTTGTGAGGTTCATCTAGAGGTCAGCTTTGGTTCAGGGCCTCACTGCCCAGGCCCTAGTATTTTGATCTTCTTCCCTATTTAAACTACTATTTACTTCTTCTAGACAAAGCAATACTAATGTCCTCTCACCTTTTCCCCTCCGTACTTTTGTAATGTGTGCATGGTGTGCAAACCTTTATCTTCAAAACTTTTCTGGATTGTTAGCGCATGCTATTATTGTTTCTAGGCAGAGGATGAAATTAAGATCAGAGTGGCTATATTTTAAGGTCTGTGCTGGTTTTGGATACTCACATTGAAAAAAAAATCAGATCTATCTTTTAATGAGTATTTAACATTCTGTTCCCCTGTACATATGCCTACAACAGTGACTGATTTGAGCGTGTGACATTTTTACACCTAGAGTTTTTACATGTACTGCACAATAGGTACGCCTTCACAACCAAATTGTGTAGATAAGCAGTGTTAAAATATGCACTTTCACTTGGTGTTTTTCAAGCTCTTTTCTCACACCACAAGGATGTTAAGATTCTGGACTCATTGATCCAGTGCTGTTTCTGAAGGGATGTTGTCTCATAGCATATATGAGGCTTGTAGTATTTGGCCTGTTTTGTTTGCTTCTGTCCATTTTATTTTTTTTTAGCTTTGTTCTCTGTAAAAACTGGTATAATTATTTAGTGTATGTTGTTGCCACTTTTTCCTAAACTACCTGCCTGCTTTTATTATATGCATATCTCTCTGTTCCTTCTTGTCCCTATATTCTCATGTTCCAGATGCACAGCCTTTTCACTCTCTCACTCTAAGGAAAAGGAAGAAGAGACAGGTGATTGCAGCGAGCCAGCTTTGTATATTGTCATGCTTTTTTCTACAGCCCAGATAAAAGTTTTTGCAGGGAAAGAACCACTTGATTTCTGCAGCAGTGAGAGCTGGAGAGTCTTCGCCACAGAATGACCTGGAGCAGTGACCATGCCCAAGCTAGAACTGTTAGACCTCCATCAGTACCACTTAGTATTCAGAGAATAGAGCTGCTAAATTTCAGCTGGTCTCTTCTGAACAGTGGTGAAATGTGATGTTTTGAACAGCAAAAGTGCTTCATTAAATCTGGGAGAGTTTCCACAGGGTTAGATTAGAAATGTTAGAGTAGGAACATCCAACATATTGGACTCTTGGGCAGTTCCAGTGTAGCTCTGCCTTCAGGACAGCTGGATATACCTGGCAGGTGCAGATGATTTGGTCAGTCCAGATCTGTAACTGTAGAAGCAGTGATGCTGCAGTGATTGCTTAAGGCTGATGTTGCCAGATGATGTTGGATCCCAGCTGTAAACCCAACCCTGTTTAGCCCTGACTCTCACAGAATGGGGGGAATCCCCAGAGAGGATCCCCCCCATGCACTGTTCGTGGGATTTCCCTTTCCCTCGTGTCTTGGATGTGTAATATTTATTGCATGGCTCTGAGCCACATGAAGATTTACAGCTACTGCTCAGGATGATAGAAAGGTTGGGCAGCCTGGTGCTGAGCCAACTGCTAAATTGGCTGAAATGGTTTTAAGATGGAGCATACGATGGGTGACTTTCCCATAATTGTGCTTTGGAAAACAGACAAATTTGTTCAGCTACGGCTTTCAGAGAAATAGAATGTGGAAAATCTCAACTGGAAGCATTCTCTTTAGCAAACACAAAAATAAGTAAACAGGGACTCAAAGAACAATTTTAACCTTCTCTAAAATGCTTGTGGCTTCCGGTACTGTTATTATTCATTACTGAAATAGCTATACCTTTTTTCATCGTTTTGACTCACTGATCATAGAATCATAGAATCATAGAATGGTTTGGGTTGGAAAGGTCCTTAAAGATCATCAAGTTCCAACCCCCCTGCCATGGGCAGGGACACCCTCCACTAGACCAGGTTGCTCAAAGCCTCATCCAGCCTGGCCTTGAACACCTCCAGGGATGGGGCATCCACAGCTCCCCTGGGCAACCTGTTCCAGTGTCTCACCACCCTCATAGTGAAAAATTTCTTCATAATGTCTAGTCTAAATCTACCCTCTTTCAGCTTATACCCATTACCACTTGTCCTCTCACTACACTCCCTGATAAAGAGTGCCTCCCCATCTCTCCTGTAGGCCCCCTTCAGGTACTGGAAGGCTGCTATTAAGTCTCCTCATAGCCTTCTCTTCTCCAGGCTGAACCACCCCAACTCTTTCAGCCTGAGCTCACAGGGGAGGTGCTCCAGCCCTCTGACCAATTTCGTGGCTCTCCTCTGGACTCTCTCCAACAGGTCTGGGTCTTTTTTATGTTGGGGGCCCCACATCTGAACACAGTACTCCAGGTGGGGTCTCATGAGAGCAGAGTAGAGGGGGAGAATCACCTCCTTCAACCTGCTGCTACCGCTTCTCTTGATGCAGCCCAGGACACGGTTGGCTTTCTGGGCTGCAAGCACACACTGCTGGCTCATGATATAGTAGTTCACTTACTGCAAGCATTTAGCTGCATGTTGTTTTGCTACACACACTGCATTTTGCTGCTTAAAAATGCTGTAGGAAAAGGTGGTGCTTGATATTGATCTGGTGTATAATGCCTTCTTAATTGTACTGTGATGAAATGTAATAATCTCAGAAGTCATTCTAATGTGTTAAGCTTTTCTTGAAAGTGTAGGAAATAAAGGAGCTTTTTTATGCCCTGGGATGTATGATGTTTAGTTAAGTTATTGTCTTTCTATAAAATGAAGTCAGAGAGAAATAATATCATATGTGCTCAAAATGCTTACTGGTTTAATAGATCAAATGGTGAATTAGTGTTTTGCTTTAGACAGAGACAAGCTCTTGAGCTCTTATGGCATGTTTATTGTTCTTTCCTAGCTGTTCCGTATAATAGTGTAATGCAGGGTGATTACTGAAGTTTTTATCTGGTACATTACCCTGTTAACCTGGCACTCCAGTAAAGTGTCATGTTCTAGCAAAAAAGGCAGGACATTATGCAAAAGAGCACTTCAGCACACAAATCTGTTCAGCACACAAAGCACATTATGGTTTTCATTTTATTTTACCATTTTGTAGGATTGCATTGATGTGGGCTGGTGGGAAGGAGAACTCAATGGCAGACGAGGTGTGTTTCCAGATAACTTTGTCAAGCTACTTCCTTCTGATTTTGAAAAAGAGGTAAGCAATGTATTTTTTCATTTTTGTTTTAGAATACAGAATAAATGTGGACTTGAAGGAAATTCTCTTTCGAATATGTGCTTTTCGCAAAGTTCTAACTCAATAACAAAAAAAAAAAAAAAAGTGAAAGAAGCAAATTTCTGGGTTACAAAGCATCCATGAAGAAAACGTGTGGCACTCAAAGTCACATTATGGAGTTTCTCTGAAGGGTTTGATTGGCCTGTTCAGTCAGCCAGCCTCCACTGTGGTGCTCTGAAAGCCCTCTGTCCTGCATCCTAAGTTTGAGAGAGAAACTGGAGGTCCCAGGGTAATTTGCTGGGTCAGGTGAAGCAGTGATGACCAGATTTGTTAACTTTTCTCTGTTGTTTTTGTGGTGGAATATGGAAAGTTAGCATACCATGCTGATTGCCAGCAGTCAAGCACTCTTCCAGAATGAAAAGGGTGAAATTTTAACTGTGAGTTTCAAAAAACAGTGAACTTTTGGTATCTCAGAGACATGTTTCTTTACCTGTCTCAGAATATATTTCTCAGAATAGTGAAAGAGAAGGTATAAAATATATGCAGAAGGTTTTTCAGCTTCTCTTTATTTGAAAGAGATAGCATTGTTATTTGCCAAACAATATTTAGAAATCCTGCAGCTTCCTGGAAGAAAGTAGTGGATTACTTCCCCCAAAAGTCCATTCAGTTTTTAGGAACCTTTTCAGTCATCAGTGGGATATTACAAGCTTGCAATCAGGCTTTTGATGAGTGTTTCACAGGGACAGTGTAAGCCTTCTGTGATAAAACCGAGAATTACTGACACTCAGCAATCTTTGGCAGTAAAATTGGACGCCGGAGGCAAAAATTGAATAACTTGGAAGGCTTAATAAAGCAACTATTAAACAACTCACAGAAGCTAACATGATAATTATTGAAAATGAAGGTAGAAGAGCAGCAAAACCATGGGAGATGAAAATGCAATTCCATAGCAGAGTGGATATCCTGGCTTTAGGCCTAGTAATAAAAGAAGATGATTTCCAGAAGAGGCAGAAATCCTAAACCTTAAGACATGGTGAGCCTATTACAGAAGAAAAAAAATCTTTACTCTTACCCATTTTTTGGTGGTAAAATTTATTCAGTCTTTTTGAAGTTATAAATTATATATTGTTAATTGTTTTTTTCTTTAGAGTACAGTGAATATAACTTGTAGAATAAATTAAATATTCAGATACTTAAAAATTGCAGCCAGGTTTGCTGTAAATGTGGATAATAAAATTTTATTAGTTTTTAAAATGGCACAGATCTGACCACATGAGTAAGTAACTGGTAGGACTATAGACTCACTGTCTTTGCTTGAATCAGTGCTAAAAGAGAGGCAAGTGGATACTTTTCCAGTGGTTTTGTCAGGTATTTTCTGGTGTGATCCAGCAACCTTGGATTCCATCCCATGGTCCGAAAGTATTTGTTGCACTAGTTCTTCTGCTTCTTGAACAAAGGCTTGGGATCTTTTCTCCTTGTTCCATCCCCAGTTTTCCAAACCTGATTCTTTTCCACACATGGCTATTTGTCCCAGGACTTTTCTATTCACTGCCTAGTCCCAGTCTCCACCTCTCAGGTGGTCTCAATTACAGGATTTTCCCCTGAGCTCACTACCTGAGCCTAGATCACCATCTGGATTTACTTCTATCCCTACACCAAATTTCTTTATCCGGCTTGTTTTCCTCTCCCCTCTCACACTCTGTCCCTGCTCTGTAGTTTTGTTCTCTTCTTGTCCAGTCAATCTTTCTGTTGGCTTCACTTCTAATCTCTCTCCATCACCTTCTCGGTTACCTCATCTGGCCACACACCCTTGTAATTCCTCCTCGCTTCTCCATCTTTCCCTCAGCAGTCTTAAGGCTCGTTCACACTACTTCCTTTTTGATCTTTGTCTGCCTTTTGTATTTGCCTCAGCAGCTTCCAGTTGAAGCCACTTTGTCTAATGAACCGTAGGATCCTTTCTTCTTTGTGTTTATCTATGTTAGTGTTTTAGTTTTAGCCAGGAGCAGAATTAGTAGTGAATATCTCACTTGTCCGTCTGCACTTGCTATGCTTTGGTTTGCCTTGAAGACAGGTCTCAGGGGACATGAACCAGACTCCTTTCAGATGAGAACGAAGCCAAAAGATGTGCTAAAGGAGTGCACCTCATATATCCCAGCTGCTGACCTGCGGACAGTCAATGGGATCAGGCTCACACCACTCCAGAATAAAACTCCAAATATTTATATTGTGCTGTTGGATCCTCAGCACCAACTATTTCACTCTGCAGCCTGTTATCAACCAAACCCCCAGTTGCTATCACAAGACATTCATTGTCTCTGGCTTCTTTCCTTTCCACATTTTTCTGCACTTTGCTGCATTTAAACCTTGAACTATGTTGCCTACATTCTTGCAGAACTGTCTCTGAGAGTATAGGGGACTCACTGTTCATGGACTATGGCCCATGACAGCCAGGCTAGAGAAGATCATTCTGAGCTCCTGGGTTCTTGACCACAGCTTTCTCAGGTTCATGACAGGAGGTGATCTGGTTAGGATGAGGTGGTAGCAGAATCCTCAGGTATGCAGGATGGCAACTTCAGAGATTTAAGCTGTTAGGTTTATTCAGTCTGTGCAAAACTGGTGGGTTTTGTTTTGTTTTGTTTTGTTTTGTTTTTCTCTCAAGAGATTAATACATTTGCTAGATTTGAGAGAAATATTCCAGAAGGGTGAGTGGCAAGGGCTCAGCCTTCACAGAAAACCTGCTCCCTGTCAGCATTTGGACTAAGACTTGAGAGTTCTAGGGCAGAGGCTGAACTAGTTACTGCAAGTGAGCAAAACAATTGATCTCTCTTGAAAGCAGGTGAACCATTTGCCAAATATTTAGAAAATAAGTGGGGGCGTAGGGGGGCGGTGTGGAAATCAGTATGACTTTGATAGGAAATATCAACCTAAATGGTTGGTTGAAGTTTGTCAAAGCTATGCATATTTGGAAACATCATCTTATAGATAGTTCCACAAGACAAGACACTGTTGCGTAGCCAGCAGTGTAGTGACAGTGATTGTGATCAGTCTGTAGCAAAGGAAAAAAGGTCCTTCTCAGAAAAAATGATGGACATATGAAGAAAACAATTATTAATTTTTACTTAGTCTTTATTCTCAATAATTTTGACTTTTTTTTTTTTTTTTAAGAGCGAGAGTTAATGCATGTCTCTTGATCTGACATGGTGGTCCATTTGTTTATTCATTCCAAGTTATGTGTGGTGGATACCAGTATGGGTGTATGCATACACACACATCAACATGTGAGGAAAGCACTCCTCCTCTAGCCTGCAAGTGAAGAGAAATGGTTCTGGCACTGACTTGGTGATCGTGTTTCTCAGCCATACCATTACAGATCTATTAGGAAAATGGTCATAACAGAGAAGGTAAAAGTAAAAAGTACAGATTGGTTGGAATGGTTTATTTCAATTCACCAAACAACTAAAACTCTGCTAATTGCCTTTCACAGCTGGAGCTGTGAATGTATCATAGTGAGTGAATAAAATGTAACCTCTGCAGCATTCCCTGTCTTCTGCATTTTTGCCCCATTTATGGGTCTGAAAAAACACACTTGAGGTTTTGCCATATCTGGCTGTTTTTCATTTATGTTTTTTGCAAAATGGGTTGGAATATTTACAAGATTAAATTTTAAATAAATAGGTTTCTTCAGTAAACCAAAGGTCGTGTATTTCTCCAACCTTAAGGCACATAAACTGGACTGTTTTTTTCCCCCCAGCAGGACATTTCAATTGTAGAAAAAATTAACAAAGTAGCAAAGTAGAAAAATGTCATTTTACTTGTCAATTTTATTCTCTCTCTTCAGATTCATTTTAATTAAGTTATTTCAGGGGGAAATATGTGACAGATCTGTAGTCTCAATTTTTGTAATTATTAATGTTAAGCAATGTATTATTAACTCCAGCCTTTGTATGAATGAGATTTACAGGCATTTTGAAGCAACTTGTTTTCTTCTGTTATTAAATTTTAGAGACCGAAGAAACCACCACCTCCATCAGCTCCTGTCATCAAACAAGGATCAGGTAAGGTGCAGCTGATTTTGTACAGCACATGTCAGTGAGCACATCTCAGTCTAAATTAAGTGTATTCAAATTTATATAGAATTCATCTGTATGAAAATTGATAAGCAGGAGGTGTCTAGACAACAACTAATAAATCAGAGTCAAATTGCAAAAAGATGATAACCCTCAAAGACTGTGGTGTACTTTTAAAATCTATTGCAGGCAACCACCTGCACCATTTTAAAATAATATATTTTGCCCCTTAAACATGTTAATTTGAAGTGAGCATAATACTTCAGTTTTCAAAAGTTCTCCAGTTCTGCTCCTTGACGGAAGTTGATTGCGTACATGTCTTTGCAGTATAGACCTGATATGTTGGAGTCTAATAATACCTGCAGGAGGAAACCACATTAACTTCACACCTACAGATCTAATTTATTTTAGAAGTAAAGAGGGTTTTTTGCATATCTATAAGATAGTGTCAAAGAACTTGGCTGTAATACAGTGGCCCCGTCTGAGTTGCAGATCTAAGTCTTACAAATCTGCATGAATGCTGGAGCTGGCTGTCTCTAGGTTTTATGCTATGGTTAGATTCTTGGTTTTCAATACTTTGTAGCCATAAGTATAAAACTTAGAGGTATAACCCTGAATCTGGTTATGTAGATAATGGTGTTGCAAATGTATTAAAGGGCTGATTATGTTTTCCAAATGGATGAGTACTAGCAAAAATGGTTTTGGAATATGTTAGACTGAATTGTGTATGAAAACCACTTTTATTGGTAGTTTTAAAATGACCTCTCCATACTAATTATCAAAAGTGACTGCATGATGTATTTTTTCCATGAAACTTAGAAACAGTTAAGTATCTGTGCAGTTGACAGTTCTGACCTCAGAAACTGAATTCCTTTTGCATTAATGTAAAATCACAAATCACAAGGCATGGGATGCTCTGAGAGTTTTCATTTGTATTGCAGTTGTGTTCGAAACATAACTGTGGCTGGAATTCTTTAATCCCTTAACTCCAGTGGGTTTGTTAAAATTCTGCAGCAGCACTACCACTTCCCCCACTGCTGGTGCACATTAGAAAAACAAAACGAACTCGTCTAATCTAGCCAGATTGTTTTTCTTGTCGCTGTGGTCTGTTCCAGCTTTCAGTGCTTTAAAAAGTAAATTTCCCTCTCCTACAGTCTTAATCTATTAATAGAAGAACAAGTTACACCAGTGTACAATTTACTGTGAATCAATAGGCTATAATTTAACTAGTTAGAATTTGTGAAGCACTTCTTTGACTACAGAATCAGGACTATAAATATTTGGTTTGCTTATTGACACCCATGGTTTATTCTTTACTCTGTCTTGAGGCTCCTAAAAACGTAGATTTGATTTTAAGATCAGTGAGTCAACAGTGTCCAGAGAGAGCAGTGTAACTTTGCCATCTAGTGGTGGTTGCATACTGAAGATGTCTTGGTGACAACTGACATTACAGCCTGACACGTTTTGGAAAAGCTCTATAAAACATTATATTTCTTTCAGTTTATACTCCTATATTTAGAGAATAATATTTTTGATATGTTTGTCCCTGTTGCATTTAACACATTACCTGTGTCACCACAGCACAATGATGTGCCCATTTTCAGAAGGAAAAATGGATGCATAAAGGATGCAGACAATTTTATTAAGGCCATCTAATAACAAGGCTATTGCTGTTCTTTGTTTTCGTACTCAGTCTTTGACAAGTTCTGGCTGATTATGCACAAGAGTTTCTTCTGATATGTATGTAGAGGTGAAAATTGGCCTATGTTTTTTACCATCCTGACATCCTCTACTTTGTCAAATTATCATTTTCCCAAGACAAACACTGTATTTTACTACATCCCCGTGTCGGGCCTTACTGTTGATAGTAGGTAACAGTTTCCAGTAAAGTTTCTGCATATTTAACCAGTCGTAGTGTGATGAATAAATTGAGATCTGTCAGTTGCAGCCTAAATAATTAAATATCAGTATCTTCTGATGCAGAGCATAAAATCATAGCACAGAGAATTAGAACTGGTTTTTGTAGTACAAGCAGTACATATGTAAAAGAAATGACTAGTTTGTATTGTAGTATAGCTGAACATGTGGCTGTATTTCCAAATTCTGCACAGCAGAATGCCAGGGCCGTCTGTGCTGGGCTGCTTTACAAAGTAAGGTGAAAACTGGTGAACCAAAGTTAGGAGCATGAGTCCCCTACCTGGTCATTGAAGAGCAGTAGGCATTTCACTGGGTAGCTGGGGTAAGCAGTACAACTGTGTCGAGGCTGGAGGGTGGGAATACTGTGTTAGGTCCCTCTGGGAGCTGGTACAGAGTTCACCAGAGCTTCCTTGCAGGTGACCTTCTCCTGGCAGCTAAGGCAAGATCATAGTACCTGCCTGGGTATTGATTAATTTGGGGGTCACAACCCAAGTAGGGAGGACACCTGAGCCTGGGAGCTCCTAAGGCTCATTGTTTTAGACATGGCCTGAGATTGTCCCTCTGTGGGTTAATGATAACTGTCATTCTTACTGTAGTTAGGTGTATAGACTTGTGTCTCTGTTTTGCTTGAACACACTACTATGTGCAAGATTATCAATAAGTTGGTTCGTACTTTGCATAATTTGGGTTTAGAATGGCTTTAATTGTTTTCTAGCAACAGTTTCTCCTCTCAGGAGCGAAGTATTTTTCATAGAATCATTTAGGTTGGAAGAGACCCTTAAGATCATTGAGTACAGCCATAAAATATCAATTCAGTATTATTTATTGAAGTGATACAAGTGTTGCCTGTCCAGCAGCACAGTTATATAAGGACACAATGGCTGGCAATCACCACTGATGAGCAATTTGCACTGATGAGTACTGATTTCTAGGAACCAGCTGTAGAACAGAGTTGCAAGAGGACATTCAGAAAATGGAAATGTACTTGAGAACTGCATATAATAGAATAGTTTGAAGAAAAAAATTGCCTTGTGTTCCCTGCCCTGCCTCCCCTGCTTTTCTTGGATGCCATCTACTGTAATTTTTATTTAAATACTAATAGTTACCTAAAATGGTTTTCAACATGGCTAAGTTGAAATGGCATTAGCACCTAGTAGTTAGCCAGTGCAGCGAAGCCAATATGTAGTAAAGTGTTTTTTATAATATGGGGACTAGAAGATTGCATCTTGTATGTGCCAGGAAATTTTTGCAAAATCTTACCGTTATTAGTGCCACGAGTTCCCGTATTTCTTATAGCAGCAGAAGTCAGTATGTCAGGGTCTCTAGTACAGAGGCAGAAGGCAGAGGCTTAAGCCTTCAGGTCAAAAGCTGACAATTAAAATAGTTAATGCAGAATACTGTCAGCACTACTATTCTCATCCTTCTAATATATGGAAGTGAACAGCTAGTACTAGAGGTGAAAATGAGGGGGGTTTTAACTGAATATAAAATAAGCCCTGTATATTCGTCTATATTAAGTATTCTCTAGGCAGAAATGCCCAATTAATTGATTTATTCCTAATGATTCTCCACACTATTGAATTGCTCTTCAGTTAGATATATCTACAGTAGTAAAGGATCTGTCCACATTTAACAATCTGTAGTTACTGAATATTTTTTTTCACAGAATGGTCTGGAAGTGCCCATTCTTTTGAGGTGGATTCTTTGGAAACTGTGGACTTAACTGTGAAAACATAGACATCCAATTGTTTTTTGTCGTTATGCTGTAAGCAAATACTTTAAACTAGATTTGTGTTCAGTTCTAGCAAGACATTTTCAAATTGGAATATGTAAAAAGACTAAAATTTCAGAATTAAACCTTATGTGGCTGCATATACTGGTTTGTCGGCTTGTTCAGTAGTCCAATTTTCCTCTCTTTTACAGGTACCACAGATCGAAAGCATGAAATCAAAAAGGTACCTCCTGAAAGACCAGAATGTCTTCCTAATCGAACAGAAGAAAAAGGTATGAAATATGCTTTCCTGCGTGCTCTCTGCAGAGAGATGGGGGAAGTGGAACTGATGCACATCCTCATTTCCCAGTCCCTGTTTTCATTAAGTGTATTGTTTGGATGTTTATTTGCCATTCTGATAGATCTGTGATGATATGCATTTTGAACAGGATCGCATTGTTGCTTTTGGGCAAAATTCAGGGTATTCAGTTGTACAAATCCAGAGCTGTTAAGTACATGCAACCTCAACTGAAACCAAGGGGAGATACGCTCTCAATACATAAAATGCTGTCTAAAGCTCTGTACTCAGTAAAACCCTGGTCCTTGATCAAGTAAAATACCCCAGATTAGTGTGTGCTTTTTTCTTAACATCTATATGCCTTGGTTCTCTAGTTAAAAGCAGGGTTGGTGGTTTTCCTGCATCACAGAGAGGTTTTGTGGAGATATAGTCATAAATGCTTATGAATCACCCCATTATCATAGTCACAAAAGTCGTAGGCAAGCCTATGAAGAAATGAAAAAATTCTGTCTTCAAAGCCAGGTTTGAACATTGCAAGAAATGGGGCACAGTACCACGCAGAGCAGTAGCAAGCAAATTAAACCTCTAATGCTTTCCTTGTGTTCAGTGTGCATTCTGAATTGTTTGGGGAAAACTGATACTTTAATTGAATACAGTGTCAAGTTTCGTATGTTTAAGTAGAATATTAGATTGTACAGACAAGTTAGTTTATGGGATTTCTTAACTTTTAAGTATTCAAACTTGCAGTCTATTAAAGGGCGTATGTGTGCACGTGACTAAATGTATAATATGCAGTTACAGTTTAGTGCCACAAGATTCGGACTTTGCACCAAGTTCTGTTTCTGACTATACGTCTTAGGGATCTGACAGATGTTTTGGCACTTTGGTCTACATATGTTTACTTTTGGTTATGTGCATTACTTCTCATTATTATCTTAGCAATAAAAACCTTTGCTTTCCATTTTTGGACTTACAAAGCCAACTGTCAAAACGGTGGAGAAATTTAAATATGTTACTGTCCCTGGGTATAAATGTCTGTAACTTTTCTAAATGTTGAAGGGAGACCGTAGGAGTCATCCTTACATTTCTGGAGTACCAGTGAGTAACAGGAATTGTTTGGTGTGGTGTGAGAGCCAGGGTGGCACAGGAATGTTCTTTACGCTGTGTGTTGCTGCGCTGCCTAGCCTGTCCCTCGTACAGAGTTTAGATTCTTGGACACTGACACAGTATAAGTTGTCATAGGAGTAAGCGTGTAAAGATTACACAATACACTGGAAAAGCTTCAGTGTTACAGAGGACCCAATGACTACATCAACTGAAAGTGTACTGAAAAAGCATATATGCCTGTCAGTCTATTCCAAACCTAATGTGGATTGTGTTTCTGGTGATTTATTCCATGATCCTCTCAGACTGAAACCTAGAACCCATTAAGCAATGCTCTGTAACCTTCCCAGTACCACTTACATGTGTACAGAGGTGTAATATTCATGACATATCATAGACAGTGTTGGCAAGAGAAATGAGGTGTTGACATAGGAGGATACAGAGAGAGAAACATTGGTCCCTTTGAGAGTTTTGTCCTTTCTTTAAGAAGAATCAGGTTACCAGTGGTGTGGCAAATGTGTTTTCCTGTTTGTTTCATATTATGAATTTAGAGTGTATTATTTACAAGAGTTATTAATGTGTATTGCAGTTTACATACTCACAGGCATTGCGTGTGTGGCATTGGCTATTAGTATTGTCGCACTTCCTAACTATGCATAAGTTCTGCAAATGATCTGGTTTTTCATTGTTAAGCTGAAAAATTCAGCATATAAGTCTTTGCTTAAAAACCTAAATAGAAGGTCTGATTTTTCTGGGGGGTTTACATCCTGCCAAACATTGCTAAATTTTAATGCTCGTATTTTCATTTAACTGTAGTTCACTTGAAAGACATTTTTTTCCCCCCAGAAATGGTATTTCTCTGTTTGTTCAAGAGATGTTAAGAATATCTTTGTGACCTTCTAACTTAATATTGTTTCGTATTAGAATTTGATATAAGTTATGCTCACGGGAAATTTTTCCGTATGGTATGTAATTTTTTGCCATTCCTCTTTTTTACAAGCAGAAATAAGGAAGTTACTAAAATAAAAAATAGCATTCCCATTCAGTCACTGCATACACATTTCAGTCATGATGAATTACAGGAAGAACAGTTAGGCACGGCAAACAACTGATTGGTGGTAAACATGTAATTTCAAATACAGAATGATTTAGGACAGAAGTGGAAACGAGGTTTTTTCTTTGTATACAGCGTATCTACAATTGAAGATTTCTTGTTTAATTGTAGACTTGTGAGTGTAAATGAATTCCACTTGATAATATCTGTGTTCTTTTTTCTGGATATAATTGATTTAAAGAAAGATCAGAGAGAGAGCAAAAACAGTTAGACTTGCAGAAGCCTTCAGTTCCTGCTATACCTCCGAAGAAACCTCGGCCACCCAAAGCAAACTCTGTGAATAGACCTGGTACCTTGCCCCCGAGACGACCAGAAAGACCAGTTGTGCCTGTGACTCATACAAGGTATTGGTTTTCCTCTGTTCCGTGCTTTTGAGATTATTGGGAAAAACACACATTTAAATAATTTAGATTTTACAGTTAACATATTATTATTTCACAGTAAACCGTATTTAAGGGACAAAGAAAAAGAAAAAAAGAAAAGCCTTCTAGTCATCTGGCTGGATCGTAACTATCTTTGCAAGAATAACAGTCTTAGACTGTTCATTATTAGTTTATTTCTACTGATGAACACACTGTTACTGCAACTTCATAGTTTCCACTGCAAAATATGTATGAAATAGCTGAAATAGCTGCATCAGTATGTTGCGCTGATGTTGACTTTCTTAGAGTACCTCAAATTATTCCATCTTAGCCAGGGCACTAAGTTGGTGCAGAAGCTTGGATTGTACTGAGGAACGGCATTAGACAATGCATATTTCAAACACTGTCAGCTTGGTTTCAGTCTGTTTTCTTTAATAATTTTAGATTGATTTTTAGCAAAATACATTTGTCTTCACAGAATGTTCTTTAAGCTGGTGCCACTGCAAAACACTGCTGTCAAGTATTTATGCTCTAATGTTGATTGTTATTCTATAGTTACATGATGCTCTTTATTAGAGGTGGTTACAGCCTTTGAGGAGCACTGAGAAACAGGACTTGCCAACACAACAGCTGCCATTGAACTACTGGAGTTCAAGAATACTAATGGTGTATTAAATACTAGGATGGAGTATAGGGTAGAGTGGAATAAAATAGAAATCCTAGACATTGATTCCCTTGTTCTTCCACATATGGTTCATTAAACAAATGCTCTCAATGTGAAATCTGAGACACATAAATAAAAAAACCACTGCCTGCCTTGTGCTGCCAGTTTCATCTTACTGAAGTGCCTTGGCTGTGCGTCTCTGAGAACTTACCCTTCTATCCAGGTGCTACTGCCACAACTTCTTTTGGACTTCCTGGCTTTGAACACACTTGCCCAGTTATTCCAGAATATAGTCCACACCTGGTGGTCACTTGGAAAAGCAAGTATTTGCTACGACATTTAGATTTAGATAAATTATGTCTTCTTGGCAAGACCAATATGTATTCCAATGGCGAGGCTTGCAACAGGGTTAGCTATTCTTTTGTTCTCTCATTTGTCTGGAATATTTTAAACATATTATAAATATGTTTAGACATTTAGAGTTGTGGAGAGGTGTTTTGTTCTTCTGGTTTCCTTTTTTTTGAAGTACAAGTTGTATAAAGAAGCTGTACATTTTAAAAGATATTTCAATTTTTGTGTTAACAAAGTGAAAAAAAACCAGATCTAAACAGTAACCTTGTTATGTTCTTAATTGTCCAAACTCTGCTATGTCTAGCAGAGGAAAAAATGCTTCATTCTTTTTATCTAATGCCATTAAATTTGAAAGAATTTTACTTGTAACAATAGAGAGATTAAAACTTAGAAGAAAAGGTGATTTTTAAGGTGATGATGCTGCATGTTGCTGATCGCAGTGCTAGCACTTTCCCTATGAATTTCTTTGTCAGCTAATTGAAATTAATGGATTTATCTCATATAGCTATTCTGCCTAGTAAGCTCTAGCTTGTAAGGGTGAAAGAGGGCAGAAAGTTCACATAATGAAATAATCTGTGGAATAGACTTTGAATTACTTGAATAATTAAGAAATGTGAAACTTCAAATGGAAGCAGTCACTTCAGTAAAGGTGTTTTGTTTTTAAATCAGTTCAGTTTAATAAGATAGTAAATATTTTTAAGACCTGCTCGTTTCCATTTCCAGAATCTGAAAAACCTAAGGCAATTAGAGTAAAAACTGAACCAGCAGAATTTTTGCTGACCCATTATGGTTTAACCCAAGTGGGCAGCTCTGTCCCACCCAGCCACTCGCTCACTCCCCCCACAGTGGGATGTGGGTGAGAACCAGAATGGCAAAAGAGAGAAAATTCATGGGTTGAGATAAAGACTGTTAAATAGATGAAGCAAATGCTACGCGTGCAAGCAAAGCAAAATAGGGAATTCATTCACTGCTTCCCATCGGAAGGCAGATGTTCAGCCATCCCCAGGAAAGCAGGGCTCCAGCACGTGTAGCAGTGACTTGGGAAGACAAATGCCGTATCTCCAAACATCCCCCTCTTCCTCCTTTTCCCCCAGCTTTTATTGCTGATCACGATGTCATATGACATGAAATATCCCTTTGGTCAGTTGGGGTCAGCTGTCCTGCCTGTGTCCCCTCCAGCTTCTTGTGCAACCCCGGCCTCCTCGCTGTCAGGGCAGTGTGAGAAACAGAGAAGGCCTTGACACTGTGTAAGCACTGCTCAGCAATAATGAAAACACTCTGGTATTATCAACACTGTTTTCATCACAAATCCAAAACATAATACCATGTGGGCTGCTGGTAAGAAAATTAACTCTATCCCAGTCAAAACCAGAACGTGATCCTAGGGGGGAAAATTGCTGTAGTTATAAAGTGAGTCCCATGAGATTTCTATGGCAGCTGCTGAGCAGAAGAGGGGTTTTTTCTGTTCTGAGTAAGTGGCTTACATCTTATGCATCTCACTGACTTTTTGTGGTGATGATTGCTTTTCCATTTAAATATAATCCTCCTTCTTGGAGGCAGGTTAGGGCTTCAAGGGCAATAGAGAGACAAAAAACATGTGGGACAGAGAATAGCTGTCAATTTGTGCTGAAGGCTTCACAGCTTATTTAGAAGTACCTGTGATTATACAATTTACGGATGAGGCAATTCTCTGGAGTAGGCAAGCCGTAAAGACCTACAGAAAGTGCATTTTTACAGTGTCTAAACTAATCTGTGTCCATACTGCTGCTAACATGGGCAGATTCCCTCTCCTGGCAGCCCATTCCTGCCTCCTCCCTTATGTTAGCACCAGCATTTGTGCAGCCAACCAGCCATATGGGTCAGGGAGTTGTTCCAGCTGGCAATTAATCCGTTTGCAGGGGGTTTTCTATTAGTGTGGGGTTCCTGTGAGGCTGATCATGGGTCTGATCAAACTGACAGCCTGTCTGCATGGGCACAAGCAGAGGGAGGGAAGACACTGTGACTGAGAAGGGATGGCTCCACTCTTTTCACAGCAGTGTGGACTTAGATTGGCATAATAAGCCTGTTGACTCTTTCGACATCAGTTAGGTTTTTTGTGGGGTTGATGTCATATATCTTGGTATGTTTTGTAGTCAAATGGTAAATGTTGTAACTTTCAGCCCTAAATCACACCATCCTAAGAATCTCCTCCAAAACTGTACTCACACATTTCCCAGAGTGCTTCCAACTCACGTGGTGCTCTTAGTTTGCTGGGAGATATATGTATGCAAAACAGAGTATGCAGTCAAATGCTCATTACCCTGTCAGCCAAGAAACTATGTTGCTTCTTACAGATTTACAAATCTATAAGCAATTTTTAAAAAAATGTTAAAGACCAAAAGATAAGTAAACTAATTGATTAGTTAGATCACTTGGAGAGTATCCTTATTTATCATCTCAACAATTAATACATTTTTCTAGGAATATGTTAAATTTATTCTGTTTCCTTCCTGGTGCAGACTGTCTGCTATATTGATAGCTGTGTAGGACTTGTTTGTTTTTCAAGTCATAAACTGGTTGTCTATCTTCTTTAGTTCATAACATACTTGTCACCCGACCACAGTGTTCAACTGGATATGTGTTCACTTAATCTGTTACTTCCTCCGGTGTTTAACACAAATTTTCAGACCCTTTATTTATCACAGCCTTCCTGAAGTCTGAAATAGAATTTCCAGCCCATTTGTGTTTTGCTTATATGCTGCTGCGATGAGTTGAGGTTCAAGCCTCATCAGCTTATGTCATCATTTTATGGCATCAGAAGCAGAGACAAATTAAAAAATCAACAAGAATCAGGAGCTCGCTATGTGTTTTACTGTCAATGGCTAATTATTACTGTTCATAAAAATGCACGCCTGCCTGGGTATTTTCAGGGACAGATCTATATTTTTATCCGTAATTTGGGTGCCTTACATACATCATAATTGTTACAGCGCTATGCTGGGAATAGTAATTGTGGAAAAACTATGATCTTTGTTAGGTGTCCTGATAATGATGGTGGGTACAATTTATTGCGTTAATTGAACAGTTGCTATCACAGTAAATGTTACAGGGACTTGTCTGTGTGATGTTTGCAGTGCAGAGCTACTCACCTACCACTGGCCCTTCTTTAATTAATTGTTTCAACAATCAGATTATTTTGCTAAAATTAAGTAGTTGTGGGATAGAAAGTTCTATGAAGAAAGGCTAATCATGTTGCTTATGTTTGATCTCCTGTTTGATTTAAAAATAGTTCCTCTGTATAAAATATCACAGCTCTTGACACTTGCCTATTCCAAAGACGTTTCAGACAGACTAGGTGATCTTGTTTCTTTGGACCTGGGGAAAAAATACTCATAGTCTAATCTCATAAGCAATGTGCAAAAACATGTTGGAGAAGCTGCATTTATGAGTAAATACTAGGAACCTCTGAAATGCAGGATGCTAGCTTGAGATTCTCTTCCTTTCTGCAGTATTCTAGATTATAGATCTGCAAGACAATTGATTATAAAAAATTACAAATAAGAAGTTGAAGAATGTCCCTTTGCCCTTAGGTTTCCTTCATGTAGAGATGCTGTGAACATCTGAAGAATTATTCAGGACACTACGGTGTCTAAACTAGGCTTTTTTGACAGGTGTTAAGGAGAAATGAGATAAGGTTAATCCATACAGCATGTCTACTTACTGGAGATTGCTCTCTGACACATTGCTGTTACTGTGGTGCTACAAAGGAAGAATCTTTTGCTCTCTCATTATTAATTGCAAGTTAGCTATCAATTTACTGTAAACTACACAAAACCTCCAATAAAATATCTCCTCTTCTTGATCCAAATTCAGGAGTGATAGTCCAAAAGTGGAATTAGTGGGCAGTACAGTATCCGGCACTCTAGAGAAAGACTCCTCTGAAAGAAGCAATGACATCGGTAAGTTACAGTGCTTTTTATAGTTTGCCTAAGAAGTTTATGGTGTAAATCTCTGCTTTTTAGTGACTTTGTTATGATCCAAAAGGCAGATTGAGGATTTGGCAATGAATGTGAGTGCATTTATGTCAAATTTTAACTGACAGATTAACTACTTTACTTTAAAAAGTTTTGTTGGGGTTTTCTGTTTAAAAAACTTTTTAAAAAGGAAATATGGAATGGTGAGCTCCTATAGGAGGGATTTTGTTACTTCTCTTTAAAAGCGTGAAACAAGTGAGAAGGCCAATGACAATAAGTCATACTTGTTTAACAGATGTGATATTAGTGCTGCCATATTTTTAGTGCTGCAAAAGATTGTGGGTTTGGTGCAGTTAGTAATCTTTAAACTATCCAATACAGAGCCGTAGAGACTAAATTGAGGCTAATTCGAATAAATTTTACTGCAAACACCAATTTAAAAGCAGTGTAAATTTCTCTTGAAAATAATATGTGTTCCTGCAACACAAACAGTTTAATCGGTAAATCACCTGGAAAGGAGTAACGGTAGGTTGTTTTTCTGTCTTCTCTCACCTTCCTTCCTTCTTCAGTTGGCAGTGCAGGAGAAATGTTTGCTGAGGTGGGTGTTGCAGTAAGTGGCACTTGCAAAGCAAAGTGCTCTGACTCTTGTGCCAGGGCTGTAAGCCACAACAGCCATCTTCTACCTCTACTTAGAAATACGGCGGTGTCAGCTGCTGCTGTCGCTCTTCTCCACAGCTGCAGCTGTTACACAAGAGACTCCTTTTTGTAAAAGGCAGAACCAGGGTACCCTGAATGTGTAAGCATTACTACCTTTCGCTGGCAGCATTAAATGGTATTTCAGTGTGGTGGTTTCTACCCAGACTGCTTTATTAATAAAACATTTCTGTCAAATAGTATCCTTACAACAGCCAAGCCTGCCTTTTCTTCAGACTGGAAAGCAGAGCTTTAAGTTATAGATGGATTTTAATTGCAATGTAATAATAAAATACTAAATTGATTTTACATTGGTTTATGAGCTTTTCAGCATCCATGTGTCTGCTTTTTTTTAACGTTCTGCTGTTGCTGTGGTTTATGATAGTAGCATTCTTCTGCAGGAGCAAGATTTTCATTTGGGATAAACATGGAAAGCTAGAAACTTGTAGAGTAAATTGCATGAACGTTTTTATTGTAGAGATTAATATAAAGGAATGGTATGGAAATTCAGTCAAATTCTACAATTTAATGTTTGTTACTCATGCTTACAAATTTGCTTCAAAGCGTGTAAGCCTTTGCTTACTTGAAAGAGAAAGCTATGACTGCAAATAGCATATAGTGGCGTGAGGGAAGTAAACTTTTTTAATCCTTGCCCTAGTTTCCTTGAAATCACTATCAGGATAAAAGTTTAGTGTGTTTTGTGTTTTTTCTGTCTTTTTTTTTTTTTTTTTAACAACCCATAAAAGGTTAGGTAGGAAATTTGATTAATAATAATTTTTGTTCATTTCCTGAACCTAGGTGGGGTCCTTCTGTTGTTTTGTTTTGTTTTGTTTTGTTTTTCATGGAGAATGTTGCAAAGGGTTTAACTGATGACCTCCTGTTACCACTAACCAGGAGAACCTATTGAGCCTAGGGATAAAATAGTGTGAATACTTAGATAAGTATAACTTGATAGGGTCAAACCAGAATGGCATTTACAAGGGCAAATCATGTCATTCTAGCCTGTTAGACAACTCATTAAAAGAAAAAAAGAAATAAATGATGATTTTGTAATTAAAGTGGACCCAAAGATCATAACTGATATGAATTTTCAGGAGGCTTTTGACAGCTCATTGAAAGTAATGTTAAATAAATAAACAGTCATTTAAGAGAGGATAGAGCAATAAATTAAAACTTCATAAGCCAAAACAATTCACAGTAGATTAATGTCTTTTACTATGTGGAAAGGTTTGGAGTTCATAACAGTTTATGGGGCAGTGTAATTGGGAAGATTTATGATAAATGTGTTAGATTTTTTTATTTATTTACAAAGAGAACAATAGATTGGAGAAATCTTGTGGCTGAATGAGTTATTAGTAAAAATGATGCGTGAGCAAGTGGAGTTGTTCAGTGTATTCCGAAACATTGATGGATTAGGCAGTGTGAGTCCAGATAATATTTAGCTGTGGTATGTGTTACTGGTGTTGCCCCAGTGTCATGTACTCTGTGGAGAGGACAGCCTCAGCTTCTCCAAGGTTCATCCTTCTGGTCAAAATGGATCTGATTAATGGATTTTATGTCTTTTCAGTAATCCAAAATTACACAACAAATTAGAGTGGACCTATGTGACAGACAAGGTGGGGCTTAGCAGTAGCCTCTGAAGCAAGTAGAAGTTAAATAGCTTTTGCAGCAGCTTGGGTGTATGACCATTCTCGTTACTGGGCTCCTCTTTATTCTTCCATTAGCCCCAGTGCCATTCCTGGGCACTTAGAGCTCTCAGAGAGGACAGAGGGAAAAGCAGCAGTCAGTTGCATGTTGCCTCACCCTCTTCAAATTTATGCTAAGTACTGATGGTGAATCCTGGACTGAAAATGAATCCTACAGCACTCTTCTGGCTTGTTTACGGTAGCGATGTTAAGCTGGATAGTGACTGTTGCTTTCTCAGTCCTATAGCCAGTCTAAAGCTCATGCATTCAAAGCAGAGAGATGTACAAAAGAGCTGGAGAGACAGTTTTGGTTTTAAAAGCAAACCATGCTAAAGCTGGATGGAGAGCAGTTTTCCATTCTGCGAAACCTTTTTAAGGATTTCTAAGTTGGTTCCTTTTTTTTATCACGATGAGACCAAAACCTTTACAAATAGGGAGGAGAAGGTACAGGGCCTTTCCCTGTGGCATCTCCCAGAAACCAAACAAGTGATCAGCAACAACAAAATCAGTAATTCCATCAACAACTGAGAAGCAATATGCAGAGGGGAATTGGAACTTGTAGTCTGTCTAGGTCCCCTTTTCTATGAGATCAGTGTGTTAAACATTGCTTGTTTCAGAAAAAGCATTTTTCTCTTTATTTTCTAAGTAATATTCCATCAGTGGATCAGTGTTGTCTAACCAGAAAACCCCAGACCTTTGAAAACACCATTGAAAATATTCACTCAGCTTTCCTGATCAGGAAAGTCACAAATCCTTGAGCAAGGCTGAGGTGATGTGCAATACTGTGCATAATGTTCTGTCAGTTGCATATATAAAACTTTACTTTTATGTAGATGTTAGCACATGGCTTGATTTCACTAGCATGTTCTGCAGAGTTGTGACTTGACATTTAAATTTATTGATGGTAATACAGCACTGATTACAATTTTGCAATCTGTACTGACAAGAGCAAGTCATGTTGAGCAGCATCACTGCTGATTGTAAATATAATGGCAGCTATTACTGCTGTTGTTCATGTCTTTGCTTCATTCCACAATCCTTACAAAAAAAACCAAAACCAAAAACATTGGAAAAATAGCCTTCAGAACCACTCCCCATTCCTCCTCACTTCTTCTTTTGTTTTCTTTTTCCCTGTTTTCAGTGATGCCTTTACTTTCCTTTCCACACACCTTTCATCCAGCTTTTCCTATTTACCTCTCTTTGCCATGGGTAACTCTTCTTCATTTCATGAGGGTAAGGCTTTTTTTTCCCATTTCTTTTCTGTCCTGCCTTTGCTTTAGTTGACAATGCATAACAGACAAATACAAAAAGAAATATTTTGTAGAACACCTAATGTGTACATGGCTGTGGCAGATTTTTTTTTAATTAAAAGTTGAAATTGAGTGTACTGTGACAGAAAATCTTGCACCATAGCATTGAAATGAAAAATCATTATAGTTTATTTTATTGTACCGTAAGAAATTTTAGTGACTTAAGTGACATGTACAGTTTACATGTTCTGTTTGTCAGTGCTGTGGTTTCATTAACCTGTTCTTACAGACAGATGGTGTCGTCACAAAGTTTAATGCATATGTTTTGTTGTGGTGTCCTTACGTGGGACAAACAAAAAATATTTTGCAACATGCTAGGATGGTTCTCTAGTGTGAAAGAGAAAAAAAAAAACAACAAAACAAAACATAGAAATTTGAAGAGTGCTCAGTGGCTATCTGAGGAAAGTGTATATTCATGTCACAAAAGACATTGTCTCCAATATTGCTGTGGTTAAATCACAATAGTTACATCTGTTGTAAAGTCTCATGTACCAACAAGTGTTCTGGATTCACAGTGGCTTTTTGAGGTTAGTTTAAAATGCTTCTAAATGAACGTAAGCTACACTGAAAGTAAGCCCTGTTCTACCAACAGAAGGGTAGTCCTTATGTAGAATTACATTGATTACAACAGCTCAAATTCATGCCTTGTTGCATAACTTGACTTTTTGTTAGGTTGCGTGTTTCCTTTTAATTTCACAAAGAATTGTTACATCTGAGGGCCAGTGCAATAACAAACATCCAGCACATATAATAGCTTACTGGATCAAAAACTAGTGCTTCCAGAAAATTACAGAATAATTATAATTCATTGTTGGTCTTGAGTTGTTTCTGCAAGTCAGGATTAATCCTAAGTCTTTTAACTATATATATGCACACACACTTTGGAATCTTGCAATCCTGAAGCAAGTCTTGTCTATCCAAAATAGGTTTGCTTTGAAGTCATCTAACACTTAAAATCATATGTATTTCAGCTAAGTCATTTAAAGAATAAGCCACAAAGAAATAAAAAGAATGTATCTCCTGTGGAAATGCTCAGTTAATCCACACAAGAAGCAGTTTCTGTGCTTTGCAAAAAGACTGAGTTGCACAGGCATTTCCCACACAAAGCCAAGTGGACACATCTTTCCAATATTTTTCCTGGCTCTTTACACATTTTGCATAGTATTTGTGAAAGCAGTTAATAATCTTCATCAGTGCTAGCATAAGGCCTAAAAAACCTGCTGAAACACATAGTGTTGGTATGAATGTTCTTAAGAGATTCCCTGAAAGCTGGTTAATGTGAGTCCATTTTTCAGTG